TTAGTCAAATTAAATTTTTTTTATGTAAAACATTTGTAATTTGTAATTTTTTTTTTAATGCTGTATAATTTAAACTTTAATCGTATTTTTGTATGCATAATAATAATAATAATATTACATGAAATTGACTTACGTCGGTCGCAACGAAGAATTCAATTGGCATTTCATCATTTTGATAATTTTGAAAAAAATTTTTAACAACCGGTGATAAAACAGTTTCGGCAAATTCCATTTCAGTTTCGTCTTCTAAATATTAAAAAATTAATTAAAATTTAATTTAATTTTAATTAATTAAATTAATTAAAAATAATTTTTTTGATTTTCTCACCGACGAAAAGAATTACGGCTGGAATATCTTGAAGTTTTGCCGAATGTCTTTCGGTTAATGTGTTAACCAATCTTGGACGCCATGGAAACATCTAAAATAATCGGTGAGTAAAAAAATGATTTATTATTATTATTATTATTTATTTAATATAAAATACTAAATAAAAGATTTCTTTTTTTTTTTTTTTTTTTGCAGATTTGGTGAAAAATCGGTAAAATTTTCTTCCTACTTGTCCGTTTGGATCGTCATTTATTTCTCCTCTTCCGTCTGTTGTTATAACGGTACCATCGGTGTCGACAATCACCAACGTTGGTATTCCTTGTATACCAAATAAGGACGCAAGTTCTCTTCTGCATTCTGATTCTGAATAAGGTACGGCTAACCACGGCATAGTTTGTAGGTAAGTTTTATAAGATTCTTGACTTCTAAAAAAATATTTTAATTATTTCAATCTTAACATCTTTCTTAGCCTTGACTCTCTCTCTCTCTCTCTCTCTCTCTGTCTCTCTCTCTCTTATAAATTTCTCACGAGAAATTAATTTTTAATAAGATTTTCTTTCATCTTATTCGATCGTATAATTATTTACTTAAATAAATATTTTAAAAAATATCTCGAGGGTTTTATTTCGAGTAAAAACGAGAATAATAATGATGATGATTATTATTAAAATTTTTTCTTTTTGAGATTTTTTTTTTTTTTTTTTTTGTATAAAATTTAAAAAAAAAAAACTTATTTAGCTTTTTCCCTAGTCGTCGTTAAGGAGCATAAAATGGAAAAATGTTGCGAGGGATACATTTGATAAATGACTTTGTGTTTTTCCCAGATGCTGAGGGGGGTTGTTTGCGTCGACGAAAACCTTTTGTCGTCGTCGTCTTTAATTTTCTCGCCCTTTCTTAAAAAAATTTTCTTTTTAACGTCACGAACGAAAACTTTACCTGTCCGAGCTTACAAATATTATTTCGAAATTTTTTCTCATTTTTTTTAATCTGTTATATGTTTCGATAAGTTGTGGCGTGAATCCTCTGCAAGGTGGACACTATGAAAGAAAGAAAGAAAAACCAATTCGTTAAAATTTTTTCTTATTTAAGATTTGAGGAGTATATTTATGTCAATTCCAGACGAAAAAAAAAAGGGAATTTTCTTACCCAGTGAGCTGAAAAATAAAATCCGATAATTTGTCCATTTAAATTTTGATAATTTGTTGTTGATTTCGTAAAAGAATTTTCATTTCCCGGTAATAATTCGACATTTTCAAGAACCATTTCTAAGGGCCTCGGTTTCCATGGAAAATTAATACCAGTCGGATCTTCCATAAGTTTTTCCCTTCCATGTTTTGTTATTATTTTCCCAGTTCTACCATTTAATAATATTAGGGATGGCGTTAATGATTTTATCTGATATCTTCTCGTGAGTCTAATCTGTAATAACATAATTGATAATAATAATAATTATTGAGTTGAATCCAGCAGGTATTTACTTATCACGAAAGAAAAACATTTCTTTGATTTAATGTTTTGACATGTGAGAAAAAAAAAAAATATACAAACTGTTTAGAAGTTAAATAACGAGCCGATGATTGTTTTATTTATCCAGTTAAAAGAAATGTTTATTTATTTATTTATTAAATTGGGGAACCCATGAATTTTCTATAAAATTTGTTTTCCTAGTTAAAAAAGAAAAGGAAAAGAAAAAGAAAATTTGGGGTGTTGATTAGGAAAATTTCATACAAAAAAAGGAAGAGGAGGTGGGGGGGGGGAATTTTATAGATTTTAAACTTACCACACGTTCTTTATCACCCACGGGTATGGAATACCATGGAAAATCTTTTAAATGCTCATATATTTTATTTTCGTCAATGGTACATCTATCCAACCAGTGAATACTATTCGTTAAAAAAATATGTATGACTTCTAAAAGTGTTTTACGCTGTTGTTGGATTTGATTATTTTTTTCATTGACGTTTGGATTCGATAAACCGTCATTTCCACCATTCATTATTTTATATAATTGTATTAAATAATTTGTACATTCGTCTGGAACTCCTTCGACTGGACAAAAAAATAAACCGATAACCAATTTTGAATTATCACTCTGATTTTTATTTAATATATCAAATAACGAATCCACAGATATATTTTGATTTTCACACCGATTTTCATTTTTCACTCCTTTACAATTAATTAAATTTTCACCCAATATTTTTTTATACCATTTGATCGTGTTATTGGAAGCCATTTTGAAAAATTAATTTTTCTTTTTCGTACGACCTTTTTTTTTTTTTTAAATCAGTTTTCCCTGTTGATAAAAGCTTTTCTTTTTTGCCAGAAGAAAAAAAAAAAAATTCGTAGCTAACGTTTATTATTATTATTTAAACCGAAAACACTTTAATATTGTAAATAATTTGGCGCGAATTTTAAATTTAATTTTTATCAATTGTTTTTCTTTAACATATATAACATTTTAAACGGTTTTTAATAGAAAAAAAAAAAAGTAAATTTAAGGTATAAACAAGAGAACATTTGGGGGGTATGGTATTAAAAAAAAAAAAAACGACAAACTTTTTAACATGTTTTATACATTTCCGTTTTACACTTATAATTCCAGACACACATTTTTGTTTTTAAAAACACATAAAACTTGGTAATGGGGGAAAAAGAAAAAAAAAAAAAACAAGAAGAAAAAAAAAATTGTGTATATGTTTCCTTTTAAAAAACAGATTATAGACTGATGCTAACAGACGCCACGGCGTCAATTATTTTGTTTTCTTTTTTTTTCCTCCCCCGTGCAATAATTTAGTACGGAGCTTTAACGCTAGGTGTCGCACTTAAACACTAATAATCCTATACTCAACATATAAAATGTTAAATTGTAATTTTTTTTTACAAATTCAATTGCAATTTTTTTTTTTTTTTTTGTATAACGCCATATTGTTTGTTGATATTTTATATAAAACAAAAATTTATAAATTAATTTTTCACACACAAACAAAATTCATCGTAAAAAAAAAAATGGAGAACGTGTATAATCGTGTGAGATTACAAAAAAAAAAAAAAAAAAATTTTAATCGATTTTTTAATAGTCAACCAAGAAGAAACACTCTGATTAATTTAAAAAAAATTTTTTTTTTTTTTTTAATATAAAAATAATTCGTTTAAAAGTATTAAAATGAATGCGGGGGAGGGGAGGGGAGAAAGGATTAAGATTAAATTAAAAATTTAATATATCACTTTCCTTCCTTCCTTCCCTTTTTTTTTTTTAATTTGAATTAAAAAGAAAGGAAAAAACAGAACATTCATGTTTTTAACACAATAATCGATAACAACAACAAAAAAAACCGTTTAAAATAATAATAATAATAATAATATTGTTTACCTTTGTTAAACATCCTGTAAGAAGAATATATTGAAAGGTTTAAAAGTAAATTTTGTTATATGTAATGTAATAAAAAGGTTTATTATTTATTTTTTTTATAGTTTACATTGAAAAAAAAATCAGAACTCAAATGTATTAAATGCCATTAAGAATTTCAAATAAGGTTTTTAACAAAAAGGAAAAAAAAAGGAAAAAAAATTTTTAACCTGATTAAATTTTACTCATTGCAAATGGCTTCCTTTGTTCAAGCTTTTCAACACAATTTTTTTTGCAAATTTTTATAGGAAAAATAATAAGGGTTGGGGTGGGGGGTAATATAATAATAATAATAATAATAAAACATGTGATTGTAATATTGAAAACAAACCATAATCAAAAATTAGATTTATTTATCAAGGGGAATAAAAAAAAAAAAAATGGGGAGAAAAAAAAAAAAATGAATTTTGTCGAGGGGCTGAAAATTGTCATAGTCGTCGTTTGTTCTCCCTACCACACAACATTTCCCCCCTCCCTCCCCTCTTTTTTTTCTTGTATTCTTTTTTACATTTGATGATATTTAACAAACAAAAGTATTAATTTCTTTTATTTATAAATATTTTTTTTTCTGATAAAGAAACAAAAACGTGTTTGATAAAACTTAATATGTTAACGTTTTGATTTTTTTAAATAAATAAATATTATTTTGTTTTTGTTATGAAAACAAATTTAGTTTTATCATCATTATTATTCGTGGTTTAAGGGAATGTAACGTTTTTTTTTTAAACCGTTAGTTAGTTAGAAAATGAGGAAAAAGACAGTGAAATAATACTTATTATTATTATTATCATATAGAATTTGTGTTTTAAAAATGATTTATTGTTCAAATTATAAAAATTTTAATGAAAATATTTACAAATTTATTATTACATACACATATTGATTTGCGTATCAATAAATTATTGAATATTTATCGAAGAGGATTTAATTTTATAAAAAATCGATAATTAATAAAAAAGGAATTTATTACCATTGAACCCGTGAGTGAATGAAATATGGAAATTTTGGCGGGTCGATCGTGTTTCCTCTTGCGCGAGCGTAGTTTAAAATAATATTGACGAAGGCGTAGCTTGAGATTATTGGATCGGCATTTTGTGTTGTTCCCTGCACTGCAGTTTCGTTATTAAATAAAGAATAATTTTTTACAAAAGTCTTAGTGTTTAATTTTGTTTTTATTTTATTTTATTTTTTGAATGTAAAGTTTAATTATATAAATTATTATTATTATTATTATTTGAGTTTATTAGTGACGGATATTATTTTTGAATTCATCTATTCGACATCAATTTGTTTTGGTCAATTACGCGACTTTAAAAAAAAATTTTTTTTTTTTTTTTTTTTTAAAAAAAAAATAAATTCATTTTATATATATTAATTTATATTTTAAATAATATTTTATTTATAATTAAAAAATAATTACAAATGTTTTATTTAAAAAATTTTAACGACGAGTTATTTATTACAGACACTCATTTGACTTTATTATTAAAGTTTCCTTTTTTTTCGGTTATTTTTGTTCTGTTAACCGATTTTTAAAATCGATTTGAAAATGTTTCTAATCGATAAATAGTAGTCGTTTTTTTTTTTTTTTTGCGTGTGTGTGTGTGAAATGAAAAACAGTTTATTGTGTTTATTATTTAAATTATACCTATTACTATAATTTATTTATTGTTTTTTTTTTTTGTTTTAAACCGAAATGAAGTTGAATAGAAATAAAATAGAAAATGAACGAAAATTGACGTAAAATGTGTGATGTTTCTTGAAATTGGTATATCACCACTTTGCTAATTAATAAAACTAGTCTTGTGATATAATGATTGTTGAACGGTGATCGATAATCATTTTTTATTATAATTCACATTTTAATACCTTCTGTATTATTGTGAAGCAATTATAATACTTATTTATTTGTTAATATTTAATAAAGAATTCAAAATGGTTAAAAAATCAATGGGTTATTTTTCCCAATTAAAAGCAATGATTATTAGAAATATATTGCTCAAAAAAAGGGAAAAAAGGAAAACTATTGCTGTAAGTTTTATATTTTATTTATGTTTAATATTAATTCATTACCTTTAAACAAAAGAATTCAAGAATTATTTATTATTAATCAGTATAATGAGGTAAATAATATGTACATGTTTTTATATTTCCATGCAACAGTTTTTATAAAGTTTTTTTTTTTTTTTTTGCAATTTCTTTATTAAAAATTTAATTAAATAAAACAAATAATATGATATCAATTTGTTGCAAAAACTTATTAACAAAAATAATAATATTTAATACTTTTTCACAAGGTATTAAGGTTAATAAAGTTTTTATTGTTTAATCGACAAAAACTTTTCTCTTTTTTTTTTTTTTTTTTTTTTTTTTTAATTAAAAGCTGTAATCTTTACAACTCCTGATTATGAATAATTTATGAATGACCCTTAATTAAAAAAAAAAAGTTTATTTTTAATAATTTTTTTTTATCCATCATAATAACATTTTTATTTTGATGTTAAATATTTTATTCGAAATTGATTTTTACTTGATACTTACTAAGATACTTTTACTCGATACTTAATTAAGATACTCAGAATTTATAATTATTTGTGTTTCTTTATACTTAACTCTGTTAGAATGAAATTCAGTCATTATTATTATTTTAATAATAATAATAATAATTCAAAATAAAAAAAAATTACATTAATATATATCTTCTTAAGTTATGTACTATATATATTAGACTATCACAATTTAAAAAAATGTTTTTACTTGTTAAAAAAAAGGTTAATTATTATTATTATTATTTTTAACGATAAGTTATCTCCCTTTGCATTAAAAACTGGATGGAAAGGATAGGGTTAAAACAAAATGGGGGGGGAAAAGGAGGGAAGGGGGGATGGGAAATGGAGGAGGGGGGAGAGAGAGAAAAAAGTATAGATTAAGAGTGCTGTTAGAAACAAAAATAAATTTCTTTTTTTTGCAGTTGTAAGTTGTGAAACCACAAAAAGTGCAAAAAAATATTTTGCTTTTTTTTTCTTTCTTTTTTTTTTTTTTTTTTGTTGAAATTGGGTTCAACTTGAATGCTTGTATTTTCAATATTTTTCCTTGTTATTTCAAGTTGACATTTAATACAAAATCTTTTTATATTTATCCTGTTGTTTTGTGTTTTACATAGAATAACAATTTACCTCAATGCCGCCATATAAAAAAGCATGCATGGAAAATATTTTTGCAAATGACAATTTTTACCTCACAAAAAACAAAAAAATTTAAAAGGAGGAAATTTTTTTTTTTTAAATGTTAACGTTTTATACTTTTTGGTTATTGTGCCAATTTAAAAAAATAAAGAAAAAAATGAGGGTCAGGATAGAAAAAGTGGGTGGCTGGGACGAGGGGAGGGAGGGAGGGGGTGGTAAAAGTTAATGTCAAAAGTTTTCTTTTTAAAATAAATATAAAATGAAAATTAAAAAAAATATTCGTATGGTTAGCTTAACGTTACACATTTTCTATATATTTTTATTATTATTATTATTATTGTTATTATTTTTATAAAAAAAAATTAACAAAACGATTTCACAAACTTTGTTTCTTTGCCAATAAATTATTTAAAGTTATTTAAAAAAAAAAAAAAAAATTGAGAAAAGAGAAATGAGGAGGGGGGGAAAGGAAAGAAAATGAAATGTTTAGGAAAGGGGAGGGAAAAAAGGGGGGGGCTACGTATAGTTAATTTTAAATATAAAAAAAATAAATATTTTAAATTGTCGTTAAAATAAATATTAGTTAGGTCGGGGTCTTATTTTTATTTTTCTCTAACTATTAGCCCTATGGCAAAAAAATAATAATGATAATGATAAACGACATTATCATTTTTATCATTTAAATTTGTTGTTTAAATGTGAGGAACCCGTCGAGGGGGGGGGGGGATTCATTTAACTTCTTTACCATTTTTTTTTAAAACACCGTCAAATTTGTAATTTTATTTTTAGAAAATTTTTTACTGATTTTTTTTCGAAAAAAGAAAAAAAAAATTAATGGAAACGTTTTTATGGGTATTTTACGCTTGAAAATTTTAATCAAATTTTTTTTTAATGTAAAAGTAAAAAGAATTTTCTTTTCCGAATCGAAGATTACGAGGGGGCGGGTTGGGGGGTGAGGGTGAGGAGCGATGAGAGATAAATTTTTTTTTTTAATTTGGTAATAAAAAAAAATAATTTTACGACGATTTCTTCTTAATCAATCACCATTTTCCGGTTTTCTTTTTCTTCTCCTATCTCTAATCTCGCATCGAATTTTCCTTTTTCTTTTCCTTTTTTTTTTTTTTTATTATTGTATCCTTCATAATAAAAACCTTTTTATTTTACCTAAAAAAATTTTTATTATCGTGTAGCAGATTCGTTTGAAAAAGAGTAAAAATTGTTTTCCGACTTTGATAACGCCTTTTATTATTATTATTATTTTAAAACATCGAAAACACCCCCCCCCCAAAAAAAAAAAAAACTTATCGGTTGTCCTTTTGTTTTTCCTATTTGTTACAAATTTTCTTTTCTACGACTTTTTCCCTTCTTTCCTTTTTTTTTCGATTTAACATTTAACTTTTTTTTTTTAAAAAAATATTTCATCGATTATATAAAGAACAATGAGAGAGGGAGGGGGGGGGGAAAAATATTTCCCAAGAGTCAAATTAAAAAAGGGAGAGGAGGAGGAGGAGTGGGGGTTGGGGAAGGGGAGGGGAGGGAAAGAGAAAGAAAAATTAAAAAGTTTACAAAAAAAAAATGGAAAGCTATAATTTTTTTCGAAAAAAAAAAAAAAAAAATTTTAATGATTGATTTAAAAGGAAAAAAAAAAAAAAGGAAAAATTCTAGAATGTTTTACTTCCAGTCTTGTAATGTAAATTTTTTCCCTTTCCCCCTCCCCACCTCCAGTGACGTCATTAAATTTTACGTCATTGTCGACGACGACGACCTTAGTTTTTTCAAAGATATTATTTTAACCTCGAACTAAATAAATATCCCAATTATTTATATATATTAAAAAAAAAAAAATATTTTTCTCGAGTTTACTTTTTTACTTTTTTTTGGCACGAATAAATTTATTTATTTATTTATTTCTTCTTGGTTACTTCCACAACAAAAATTAAATTGTTTGTAAAATTAATTAATTAATTAAAAATTTGTCTACTGCTGCATGTGTCAATTCTGGGTCGAAAAAAAAAAAAAAAATGTTGGCTTACGTTGAACTCTATTAAAATCAAAACTTTAAAAAAACAATACGATCGATCGAAAAATTTAAATACAAACCGCGAAAAACCTCAAAAAAAAAAAAAAAAACAATTTAATATCAAGAGTGTTGTTTTCAATTCGATGTGGTTGCGGATGGTTGTTGTTTTTGTTAAAAGACTACAAACAACAACAACAACAACAACAACAACAACAGTGGCAACCTCACACAAAAGGGATGATATTACGCGGTTAAATTTTTGAGTAATCGGACTAAAACACCTCAAAAATTTTACATTTTATTAATAATAATAATAAATTGACAGGAAGTCAACAATTGGTCAACATAAGATTTTAAGGGAATTCAAATCACACACGCACACCCACACATTCGATGGAAATTTTTTTAATTTAAAAATTAAATATTTTGTGTTTTTATTTTTATAAAAAAAAAGGAAAGGAAAAGGAAAGAATGGAAAATAAAAATCTGCAACCGAAGTATTCTTTCTTTTTTTTTTTTTCTCTTATAAATTTAAAATTTTGTCGTAAATCTTATTACATGACCCCAAAAAAAAAAAGAAAAAAAAACGAAAATAGTTTTGTTTTACTCTTACTCAGCAGTTGCTTACAGGAAACGTCTTTAAAAAAATTATGTTTTACAAAAACATTAATTGTCATTTATTTAATTAATCTCCATGTTAATTCCTTGGATAGAATTTTTTTAAACAGCAGAATAAAACAGACAAATTTATAAAATTCAAATCATTAAATAATAATAATAATTATAATAAAATGTAACTGTAATAGATTTTGATAAAAATATTAATTTGTGTGCGTTTTTCTTACAGGAAATTTTTTTGCCCTTGTATTCCTTAGGCACACTAATAGTAATAAAAATATTAATTCCAAATCCAAATTTTCCAATAATGAAAACTCCACAGGGAGACGCGGATCTTTTTCAACATTTTTCGCATTTAAAAAATCACACGGTTGCCGTCGTACCAAACACATCAGAAGTTCAAATATTTCTCGATCATGTCAATTATATGTGGTGAGTAATAATTATTTTTTTCTTTTTTTTTTTTGTATTGTTCATTCCGATTGTCGAAAATCGATCTTTTCTTTTATCGTTTGCTACAAACAAAAACAATTTTTTTTTTAAAGGTTAAACATGCAAGAGAGACCAGGAAAATATCCAATAGATTTTGTCATGTTTCACACGAAAGATGATTTAATGTCTGCTTATTGGACGGATCCAAAAAGTATACCAATCGCTGTTGTTTTCGATGAAGAAGATCCTCTTCAGTATGCTTTAAAGTAAAAAAAAAAAAAAAAAAATTTTAATTATTTAACTTTAGCAAAAAAAAATAGACAAAGCCTTTATATTTATTAAGAATTCGTGACTTTGCTATAATTCATTGCCACGCCCCTAATATATATTAGGACTTTTTTTAAAAAAAAAATAGGGAGGGGTAAAAACGGCACGTAATATTGTGATTTTTCAAAAAAAAAAAAAAAAATATCGTTTATCTAGTTTTTTTTTTTTTTTTATTGTTTTGTTTAATTAGCAGAAATAAAATACAATAAATTAATTTTTTTTTTTGAAAATGATAAAGAAAATTTTTATTTTTTTGCTGTCGTTTAAAGGTTTGACATATTCAATGACATTTAAAAAAATTTTCCCTGACCTTTAACGATTTTTTCATTTAAAATAATAATAATAATAATTTTAGTTCTTTAGAATTTAAAAAAGAAAAATTTTCCAAAATGTTTTTCCTTTTTCTTGTAAAGGTACGAAATAAGAACAAATCCATCCTTTGTGGTTACACCTCAAACGACAGAATTATATTCATCGCCGGCTAATTGTAGAGAAAGCGTCAGTCATTGGGCTGGAATTTTCCCTATCGAAACCGGAGATTCTTGTCCAGTTAATCAATATTATTATTCAGGTTTTGTAGCTCTACAAACTCTTCTAGACTACACTAAAATTCGGGTAAAATATTATTGGTATTTTTTTTTTGTTTTTTTGTTTCGATAATTACTCAATCAATAATTTTTTTTTATTTCATTTAAAAAAAAAGAAAAATGAAATTGGGAAACCATAGCATTAATAATTAATAAATCAATTTTTTTTTTTTTAGTATCGGATAATTAAAAACTCAAAAAGAAGTTGAGATCACGCGATTATTATTATTATTATTAATAATTAATTTATTAATTTCAGTTGGACAGCAATAAACTCGATCTTCAAGTTCCTCATTTTTTATTAGAATTATTTCCAAAAGAAGCTTTCACCGGTTATTGGATGGTTGCATTCAGGGTTATAATACCTTTATACATGGTGATGGCTTTGTCTCAATTCATAACATATCTATTGATATTAATCGTTGGTGAAAAAGAGAAAAAAATTAAGGAGGGAATGAAAATAATGGGACTCAAAGATTCAGTATTTTGGTAGTAATTTTCCCCGGTGTCCTTTCTTTCCTATTTACAAAAATTATTATTATTATTATTATCATTATTTTTTCTTCTCAACGTGTTCCAGGTTATCGTGGTTTATTATTTATGCAATATTTACAACGTTTTTATCAATAATAAGTTGTGTTCTTTTATTCTCATTACAAGTTTTTCAACATACAAATTACATATTAATATTTTTGCTGACTTTACTCTACTCATTTTCAATAATTATGTTTGGATTTTTAATCACTCCGTTTTTCGACAAATCTAGGGTAATTATTGAACGTTTTCGCGTAAGACAGGCATAATTTAACGTTAACATATTGAAAAAAATTGTTTTGTTTTTCCAGACTGCTGGAATTCTTGGAAATTTTGCCGTTAACATGATGTCCCTTTTTTATTTTATACAAGTTTTCGTTGACGATTCTGATTCTATTGCACTTTGGATTGTTTCTCTAATAAGTTCATCAGGTTTTGCCTTGGCCATGGACAAAGTGAGTTTTTTTTTTTTTTTTTTAAATATCCTTTTACCGACTCATCCTCATCGCAATCGTTTATCATTTTTTATTTATTTTTCTATTCAGGCATTAGTTCTAGATCTTTCGGGAAACGGAGTGTCGTTTGATAATTTATGGGCAGGACCCGGAATTTCTTTCGGTGGTTCTCTGATCATGATGGCTTTCGATACCATTCTGTACGGGTTTTTAGCATATTATTTGGACAGCGTTATACCTAGCGAACACGGTGTGAAAAGAAAACCTTGGTTTTGTTTTACATTAAATTTTTGGTGCCCCAATAAAAAATCTCCAACGGTAATTTACTCAAATAAATAATCAGGGAGTTTTTTTTTTTTGTAAGTTAAAATAAAAACTAATTTTTAGGTTCCTTTAGTGAACGGCGAATCGGGATCATTTGACACCAGTGAAGAAGCCACTCGTGATGTTGAACCTGTGGCAAGAGAAATGAAAGGACGAGAAGCTATTAGGATTGTCGATTTGTATAAATCTTTTCGAAGTTGCAGAAAACCTGAAATAAAAGCCGTGAACGGTTAGTGATCATTGAATTATTTAAAAAAAGTTTAAAAATTTTCGCTTCATTAATTGTTTCTTGTTTCAGGTATAAATTTAACAATTTATGAAGGGCAAATAACAGCAATTCTAGGACATAACGGAGCCGGAAAAACTACATTATTTAATATATTAACGGGTTTGACATCTCCGACAGCAGGCACGGCTTTGGTTTTTGGATATGATATTCGAGATCCAAATGGAATGAGTAACATTCGTCAAATGATCGGAGTTTGCCCTCAACACGACATATTGTTTGATCTTTTAACTCCAAGAGAACATTTAGAATTTTTTGCCGTTGTCAGGGTACGCTTTAAAGTCTTCATTTTTTTATTTAAATGAGAGAACCGAGCTGTGAATTTTAAACTTTGCAGGGTATACCAAAAAATACAATCGAAATGGAAGTAACAAAAACATTACGAGATATCGATTTGGTAGACAAAGCAGATACGTTTGCAAAATATTTGTCGGGAGGGCAGAAAAGAAAACTTTCTGTTGGTATAGCTGTCATTGGAGATCCAAAAGTTGGTTTATCACTTTTCTTTTCCTGTCAAAACAAGGTATTGATTGTTATTAAACGTTTAAATTTTACTTACAGATTATTATATTAGATGAACCCACTGCCGGTGTCGATCCGTATTCGAGAAGGCATCTTTGGTCAGTTTTGCAAAATAGACGACACGGTAAAGTTATTTTGCTTACAACTCATTTCATGGATGAAGCTGATAT